TGATAAACTTCATTCTCAAGTTTATTTTCCTGTGTCACTTCAATCTCAACTTCTAACTGAAGTATGAGGATCTTGATGAGTGTCCTTCAATTCTTTATTCTTTAAACTTTTTTTCTCTATTCTTTATAAAATTTGGAGATTATCTCTTTAATCTCTATTCTTTGAAGGGGGCCTCGGTGGCCGAGTGGTCTAAGTAGTTACTACTGTAATCACTAGCCAGTCAACACTGAGGTTGTGAGTTTGAACCCCGCTCGTGCGGGTGCACTTGACTCCAATCTTAATTGACTAGGATTGTCTGTTTTCCTATCGAAGGTCGTGGTTTTCTCCAGGTACTCCGGCTTCCTCCACCAGTAAAAACTGGCCGCCACGAACTAGCCCAAAAGTGCTTAAAAGTGGCGTTAAAAACACCAAAAATCAAAATCAAAATCTATTCTTTGTATTTTTTCATTGTTTTTTGAACCCTAATTATTTTCTTCTCTTTATTATTTTGGTATCTTTATTTCTCTTCTTTATTTTTTCGGGTCATTGATTATTTCTGTGTTTTTTGCCCATTACTCCCTATTCTATTAATCCCCTCTAGACCATCCTAAATTTGAAGCAATTCTACTTCAAACTGAAGTCTTTATGTAATGGACAATTAATTACCTGATAGAGGTTACATAACTACTTCATATGTTAAAAGATGTTTTATATATATGTTATCACTGTGAGTAATTGCTATTGATCTACTGTCTGGCCTTCTTTAAATGACAATGGTTTAACCTTGAAAACAGGTACTTAACCAAATAAAGAAATTTGTTGACATTTATTGAGAACATTTTATGTTTTGTGTTTAACCGAGCCACATTAATGTATGTGCCTGTCCCAAGTCGGAAGACTGATTCAGTGGTTGTGGTTTGTTGCTGCATATCATATTTGTTTTTCGTTTATTGTTTTGTACATAAATCAGGCTGTTAATTTTGTCGTATGAACTGTTTTACATTTGCCGTTTCAGGTCCTTTTATAACTGAGACTCTATGTGGTATGGGTTTTGCTCATTGTTGAAGGCTATACTGTGACCTGTAGTTCTTTAAACGTCAAAATCATTTGGTCTTTGGTGGAGAGTTGTCTCACTGGCAATCATACCATATTTTTATGCCCCACCTATGATAGTAGAGGGCATTATGTTTTTAGGTCTGTGCGTCCATTCTTTCGTCCGTCCGTTTGTCCATCTGTCCCGCTTCAGGTTAAAGTTTTTGGTCAAGGTAGTGTTTGATGAAGTTGGAAGTTAAATCAACTTGAAACTTAGTACACATGTTCCCTATGGTATGATCTCTCTAATTTTAATTTCACGGTCCACTGAACATAGAAAATGATAGTGCGAGACGGGCATCCGTGTACTATGGACACATTCTTGTTTTACTTTTTTTCATTTAAAGAACATCAATCTGATTGAAATACACATCCTGTGCGTTGAAGCTCCACTTGTAAGGATCTGACATATAATGCTCTGTTCTAATTTCTGTTTTTTTGTATACCTTTCAGGATCCTTTGGTTTTATCGTAATGATATATATACACACTTTCAAAAATTTGAAGGCTGAAATTTCATTTGCTGTAATAAATACTAGTTGTTTTCCATTTGTTTTATGTTTTTGAGCGTTTAATTTTGCCATTTGATATTTTAATAGGACTTTCCCTTTTGAATTTTCCTTGGAGTTCAATATTTGTGTTATTTTAGTTTATTTTTCCTAGAATAGAAAGTAAAGTAAAGTGTTGTCAGATCCGTTTAAGCAATAATCCAATTTGCTATTGATCATTGAAATGTCTGGATAATTTTGGATAAAAACATGTTTGGTTAGAACACGACTCTAATTGTAGATCATGAAACAAATTATTTTATGTGATTTGATGAAATTGAGAAAAATTACTACACACACCTTAAGATAAAAAGCCATGAGCAAAAAACTTCCCTTTTATTGCTGCTCTTCATCTTAATGTGACAGTTATAAGGCCTTCAATGTGAGCCATACATTCTTATTGCACTAATTTGAACGGAATTCTTTACTAAGTTGTGGATCACACTACGTGATATTTCTGTGTAATAAAGAAAACATCTGCAGGGGTAATTAAGTAAATTATCAACGAATTATAAATTATATCTGGCAAAGTGATTTAACAAATTGTGTTATACATTGCCCAACAACCTATTAGAATTTAAACTATACTGACAGCATAACTGTGTGAAGAACAGGTAATGGTTCAATGTTAGTTCAATAAAAAAACCAAAAGGCTGAGTTGTACTGTACAATTATTAGAGAAAATATAAATGTTAGACCTATAAACATGGATATAGAGAAAGTCTAATGAAAAAAGCATTGGGATGATTTTTATGACTTTGAGGATTCTCTGAGTCTAATACATATGTACATATGTACTTATAGAAAGACTTGTTACATAAAAATGTTATTAATTTAAGCAATAAACATTCTTAAGTTTAATTTATCACAATACCAACCAGAACATTGCAATATAAACAATGTAACTACGATTGATCACACGATTACATAACTTAACAAGATTACAGACAGATCATCAGGAAGTCCAATGTAACTCTATCAAATATTCATCAATGAAAAGTACATCGATAATGCTCAAACTGTGAATTCATTTTTATCTGTGGGATATCATTTTTGTGGATTTCACAAGTAAAGGTCAACCACTGTATTTTTAGGATTTGGCTATTTGTCAGTGATCATATCTTCACTTTTTTAGCTCACCTGGCTCATCACTTGGGATCCGTCGTCTGTTTTCCATCGTCCGTTAACTTTTACAAAAATCTTCTCCTCTGAAACTGCTGGGCCAAATACAACCAAACTTGGCCTAAATCATCCTTAGGGTATCTAGTTTAAAAAATATATCCGATGACCCTGTCATCCAACAACATGGCCGCCATGGCTAAAAAATGAACATAGGGGTTTACTATAGAAGTCTAAGGGAAAATTGTAAAAAAAACAATTTCAAATGATCACAACTTGAAAACTAATTTAAATAATGATAAGGGGTCTTCAGTAACTATTGTAAGGCTACAATGGGATGACCTGCTTTTAATTTGACTACTTGGCCAAATTAAACTAAACTTGACCTCAATCATTATTATGGTATCCAATACTATTAATTATGATTTTAACCTTATTTTGCATGATTTCCAAAACAGCAGTTGATACAGGTGAGTGACACAGGCTCTTGAGAGCCTCTAGTTAAAAGTTTTCAGGGGAGTTATTTCCCTTTTGCAATTTCTAATTGATTCCTAATTTGTAAATTCTTATATACTGTGGATACATTCTTATCTGTGGGATACCATTGTTGTCGATTCATACTTATCTGTGGGATACCATTGTTGTCGATTCATACTTATCTGTGGGATACCATTGTTGTGGATTCATTCTTATCTGTGGGATACCATTGTTACGGATTCATTCTTATCTGTGGGATACCATTGTTATGGATTCATACTTATCTGTGGGATACCATTGTTGTGATACCATTGTTGTGGATTCATTCTTATCTGTGGGATACCATTTTTATGGATTCATTCTTATCTGTGGGATACCGTTGTTGTGGATTCATACTTATCTGTGGGATACCATTGTTGTGGATTCATTCTTATCTGTGGGATACCATTTTTGTGGATTCATTCTTATCTGTCGGATACCATTTTTGTGGATTCATTCTTATCTGTGGGATACCGTTGTTGTGGATTCATACTTATCTGTGGGATACCATTGTTGTGGATTCATTCTTATCTTTGGGATACCATTTTTGTGGATTCATTCTTATCTGTTGGATACCATTGTTGTGGATTCATACTTATCTGTTGGATACCATTTTTGTGGATTCATTCTTATCTGTAGGATACCATTGTTGTGGATTCATACTTATCTGTGGGATACCATTTTTGTGGATTTCGTGGGGAAAGGTGAACCACAAATTTAAAAACTAAGTACAAATTTTCTATTGGATAATGTATGCAGATTTTGGAAAAAACCATGAAATCAAGTATCTTCGGAAATACAATTTTTCCTCAATCTACCAAAATAAGTACATGATGAAAATAAATGAATCCACATTATATATTTAGGACTGAAACAACTGTAATTTTACAACAGTTAACTTGTGTTTAAAGGTCACCCATTGGACAAGAGAAAACTGACCTGATATAAAGACAGGCGACCTTTAAATTAAGATTTTAAGGCATATAAAACACCAAATTCTCCAAACAAGATAAACATTAAAAAAAAGAAAATTTATTCAATAATTAAGGGGCCCGAATGGCATAAACACTGGACAAAAACATCAGTGATTTGAGATTAAAACAAATAGCATTCATTGAGAAATGACATACAAAAACTGAGAATTTCCATACTTGGAGCAGCTGGCATATGGAAATGTGGTGGGGTTAAAAACTGGTTTGTTGAGACCACCAACTGCCACCCTTCAATTCTTTTAATATCACCATAATTAACAATTATATACAGAAAAACATTTATTCAATAAAAACCTGACTATAGGATTGATAGTGAATAAAACTCTTAAATAACAATATAATAGATCAAATTTTCAATTAAATTATAGGTTGAAGATGGGGTATGGATGAAAAATAAGGGGTCCTACGTAGCAGTCAGATATGAGAAAAATGTACTACAAATTAACACCTTTTTTTTTACCAATAAATGGGGAAACCCCTACATTCACCTTTTTTTATTTTAATAAATGCAGGTCTGTGTTGATCAGGATATATGTTTGCATGTATAAAGAACAATTGGATCTCTTTACAGCAGAATCAATTCTTTTTTACTAACACAGTCATGACAAGAAGACATTAAAATCTTGTGTGGCCCTCCATTTACTAGTAATTGCTAAAAAGAGAAAATAATTGCAAGTGGAAAGGTAAACATAGAAAACACTAACTGATGTGTTATGTTATTTATATAATTTAAATGGTTTGTTTTTGGTTTTCAGCTATATCCAAAGAAGACACCATTCATGAGAGTGATCTAGAGGTTAGTACTTTTAAATTACTGTAAATTTTCTAAAGATATTGATCTTATAATATTACATAATAATGTAAACAAAATAACTTAATTTGATCTGGAATGAAGACATAAATTATTACAGTTAGATCTTTTGAAGATTAGTACATAGCTCAGCATGAAAATACAAATATTGTTTTATCGAAGTTTGCTATTATAAATAATTGATCTTAGATAATCTTATAAAATTAAGGAATGTATCTTCCTCATGCATAGTCCCTAAATTCCAAAGTTCTTGATTGTATTTTTCAAAAGTTAATTTTTGTCAACATATTTTATCAATTATACTTTGATAGCTAAGTTTGAGAACACTGTAAGAATGCATACTTCAAGCACTGTTTTTGGAAAATATTGCGGGAATAAATAAAATGTTCAGTTTGTCTACCCTAGAAGTGTTGTTGCTTGTATTCACAAGACTTAAGTTTTCACTCTTTTTTGAGAAGACATGCAATGTTGCATTTCCATGTAAATATATATTTATATAAGAAAATCTGCATTTATTTATGATTAAATCCTTTATAAAATAATTGAACATGTGAAAAACTGTTATAGCAGAAAATCATTTAATAAGTAAGAGTTGTAAAATTTTAAGAATTTTGAACCTTTTATTATAACATGGCACTAAAATGCCAAAATTTGCTAAAAAACTGTAAAAAACTGTACATTAAAAATAATACTCTCAAAGAAAATATATCTCTTGATAAACTACAAAATCTAGAATACACATAAATTTTAATTTTTTAGTCCGAAAATACAAAGAATGGAGACAGCGCCTCCTACAATACAGTGCCACCTAACCTTGCCCTTAGCCGATGTGGTTTGAAAGACGATTACGGCTTAATAAATAACACTTTAAATCCTGCCAATTGTCATGAGGGTGGATATCACACACTTGGACGGCCGTCATCAAACTCAATCAAAACCAGTGCAAGTAAGTTACATCGCTATAAGGGGGGGGGGGGGGGGGGGGATATCACACACGGACAGCCGTCATCGAACTCAATCAAAACCAGTGCAAATAAGTTACATTGCTATGAGGGGGGATATCACACACTTGGACGACTGTTATCGAACTCAATCAAAACCAGTGCAAATAAGTTACATCGCTATGAGGGGGGATATCACACACTTGGACGACCGTTATCGAACTCAATCAAAACCAGTGCAAATAAGTTACATTGCTAAGAGGGGGGATATCACACACTTGGACGACCGTCATCGAACTCAATCAAAACCAGTACAAGTAAGTGACATCGCTATGACGGGGGATATCACACACTTGGACGACTGTCATCAAACTCAATCAAAACCAGTACAAGTAAGTTACATTGCTATGAGGGGGGATATAACACACTCGTACAACCGTCATCAAACTCAATCAAAACCAGTGCAAATAAGTTACATCGCTATGAGGGGGATATCACACACTTGGACAACCCTCATCGAACTCAATCAAAACCAGTACAAGTAAGTTACATCGCTATGAGGGGGGATATCACACACTTGGACGACCGTCATCGAACTCAATCAAAACCAGTACAAGTAAGTGACATCGCTATGACGGGGGATATCACACACTTGGACGACTGTCATCAAACTCAATCAAAACCAGTACAAGTAAGTTACATTGCTATGAGGGGGGATATAACACACTCGTACGACCGTCATCAAACTCAATCAAAACCAGTGCAAATAAGTTACATCGCTATGAGGGGGATATCACACACTTGGACAACCCTCATCGAACTCAATCAAAACCAGTACAAGTAAGTTACATCGCTATGAGGGGGGATATAACACACTTGGACGACTGTCATCAAACTCAATCAAAACCAGTGCAAATAAGTTACATCGCTATGAGGGGGATATCACACACTTGGACAACCCTCATCTAACTCAATCAAAACCAGTACAAGTAAGTTACATCGCTATGAGGGGGATATCACACACTTGGACAACCCTCATCGAACTCAATCAAAACCAGTACAAGTAAGTTACATCGCTATGAGGGGGGATATCACACGCTTGGACGACCGTTATCGAACTCAATCAAAACCAGTGCAAATAAGTTACATTGCTATGAGGGGGGATATCACACACTTGGACAACCGTCATCGAACTCAATCAAAACCAGTACAAGTAAGTTACATCGCTATGACGGGGGATATCACACACTTGGACGACTGTCATCAAACTCAATCAAAACCAGTACAAGTAAGTTACATCGCTATGAGGGGGGATATAACACACTCGGACGACCGTCATTTAACTCAATCAAAACCAGTGCAAATAAGTTACATTGCTATGAGGGGGATATCACACACTTGGACAACCCTCATCGAACTCAATCAAAACCAGTACAAGTAAGTAACATCGCTATGAGGGGGGATATAACACACTTGGACGACCGTCATCAAACTCAATCAAAACCAGTGCAAATAAGTTACATCGCTATGAGGGGGGATATAACACACTCGGACGACCGTCATCAAACTCAATCAAAACCAGTGCAAATAAGTTACATTGCTATGAGGGGGATATCACACACTTGGACAACCCTCATCGAACTCAATCAAAACCAGTACAAGTAAGTTACATAGCTATGAGGGGGGATATAACACACTCGGACGACTGTCATCAAACTCAACCAAAACCAGTGCAAGTAAGTTACATCGCTATGAGGGGGGATATCACACACTTGGACGACTGTCATCAAACTCAATCAAAACCAGTGCAAGTAAGTTACGTAGCTATGAGGGTGAATATCACACTTGGACGGCCGTCATCGAACTGAATCAAAACCAGTGCAAATAAGTTAATATGTTATGTTATTGTTATCATCTATATAATTAAAATTATGAGAAATAGTGTCATAATATAAAAGTTTAAGGAGTGTTATGATTGCCAATTAGACAGCTATCCACAAGAGTTCAGATGATGTGGATGTTAAATACTTGTTGGTTACTCTATGGCCTTTGTTGGCTTTTTTTTTGTTAGAAATTATCTCCCTTCAAAGTGTTCACAATGTGACATATATGCTAATGTATATAATAATCTCATATATTATAATATATTTTTAATCTAAAGATCATGATACTGTAAATTTGTTATTATAAATAAAGATAGATGTTGGGTATATTTCATCATTGAGACAGCAACCCAGTGACACCAGTGTTTTCCATTCGGCATTTAAGCTGGGTGTGCCGACCACCTTCTTTTCAATGCTGACCACCTTTCCATTTTAGGAGGTGGTCGGCTTTTTTTTTCAAATTCCGGATTTTTTTGGGTTCTGCACCGTAAAAATTTAAATACTAATCGCGCTTCGCTGATTGTTTTCATTGACAAAAATGGTGGATCGTCAAATTTCAATGTTTTCTTTTATTAATCGGGGGAAGAGAAAGGCAGATTGACGATGGTGATAAGGAAAATTCTAGGCCAAATAAGTCAATTAAAACGGATAGTTGTATTGAAATTGTTGAAATGGAAAAAAAAAGTATCAAATCAATGGAAAAGGCACACAAAAATTGGAGAGGGGGGTAAAACAAATTTTTTTTGGGCGGGTTATTTTTTTGAGAAGGTCAATTTTTTTTCTACAAGATTTAAGAAATTGTCAATGTTCCAAAGAAAAAATGAGGGTCACAATTTATTTGGCTAATTCTTTGTATATTGTCTGAAAACAGATTTACTAAGTGTTGCGCAACAGCACAGTGTATTGAAGAAAGCAAGAAATCTTCAGTTGAATATTAATTCAAATCATATAACCAATTTCCAGTTCTTTGACTACAGTTATTCTGTGTCAGAGACCTATAATGTGTCAAACATTTAATTACAATCCAAATCCAGACCTGTATCAAGCTTGAATATTGTGTCCATTTTTGCCCCAACTGTTCAGGGTTGGACCTATGCGGTCATAACCAGCTGCCCTTGGCGAAACATTTTATTGTCAAATGTTCGGACTCTTTTGGCTTTTGCTAGGATACAGGGTAAAATATTTTGCCCCATGTCACCCACTTTTCTTTTGATAGAAGATTTCAACAGCTCATTAAAAGATCATTACCAAAATTTAAGCAGATTCTACATTTTTTTTCTTACGATTTGAGACCCAAATAATGCCAATGCTAAATATAGCGTTAAAGTCCGAGTCAGCCTTTTCCTGCCATTTTTTTTTAAATTAAATATCTCGGAGTTCCATAACCTATCAATATTTTTAGCTTATTTTGTTCCTTAACTAATGCTTTTCTGACTTATAGTATCAATTTTAAATTCTAGATTATGTTTATTTCACCTAACTACATCCTTAGGATGATTCTGAATTTACAGTAGTACAATTAAAATATTATTTGTATCATTTCAGTAAACACTCATGCACCAGTAAAGCGGCACCACTCAGCTGGTGATATGTTAGATCAACTGGATCAGGAAGAAGGAGATAAAAATCAAAGGCCAAGGTCAGAAGGTCATCGATACATGAAACAGTTCTCACCAAAACGAACCTCTAGTTATGGGGTAAGATAGAACAAAACAAGAATCAAAGCCTTGCTTTTTTTTTTGGCATATTTGAAGTGGAAAATACCTCTTAAAATAAGTTATTAATACATTTGCTATTATCAGTTTCATCAAGTTTAAGCATTCATATGAATCAGAATCAGAATAATCTCTTTGACTTAGAAGCTTAGAATGTATTTATGAAAATGTTTCTGTAATTTTTAAGAGTTGTGTACCTTAACTGAAGTCTTCCTCCTTAAAATATTTTTTTTCATCTAGCAAGTAATGTTAGAGTTATCTCCCATTTGTGTATATACTTCAACAGTTATATCTGAATTTACAATTGGTCATAGTCTCTGCAAACTTTTGAAGTAGCTTTTATCTTGATAGAACAACTATACATGTATCTGGATTACTACTAACCATAACGTGAAATACAATTATAGATTAACATGGGTTTTTCAAATAAGAGGGTGTTTCTCAGCTACAATCTCATTGAAGGGAGACATTGATAATCTGTTTATCCCTATTTTCTTAGGTAACATCAATGACATAGGCTCATGACATTAAGATTCTCTTTCTCTCAGCTGAATAAAATACACTGTTGGTAATATAATGGGCATTAGATACTAGCCATAATTTTCATATTCGTTATGTTGTATTTTAGGGACAGTTCGGCAGACAGGATTCCTACCAGAAACTTGAACAGTTAGGAGAGGGATCTTATGCCACTGTATATAAAGGTTTTAGCAAGTGAGTTTTTTGTTTGAAATATTTCTTATTTACTCAGAACAGCCTCTTTCTTGATTGGATTCTTTGCAGAAACCTTGCCAGTAGAGAAATTTTGTAACACTTTCAGCAAATAATTTTACTATTCAGGATAAATTTATAAATCTGGCAGCCTGCGTCTTGCAATGTGAAATGAGAGACAATATTTCTTTCATCAGTTATCAAATTTGAGGAGGCACACCAAAATATGAAAACATAATGTTTGTGGGGAACCACAATTAGGTACCCAATAAAATACATATTTAGTATTGAGTCTGAAAATGTTAATCTTAAAACAGCAACCAGCTAAATTTCACAAACTACAAAACCTGGTACTCTCTAAGAAAAGTGCTCCCACAGTATTTTGTAGGATGTGGAAAACCATTTGTCAGTGATAATATCTCCACCTTACTGAAATTTTCAGGGGAGTTATTTCCCTTTTAAGATACCTAATTAATTCCTAATTTGTAAATTCTTATATTTTTATATACTGTGGATTCATTATTATTATTTGTCGGATATCAATTTTCATGGATGTCATAGAAATAGTTGGGGGCCTTGTTGGCTGAGTGGTCTAAGTAGTTATTACTGTAATCACTAGCCAGTCAACACTGAGGTCGTGAGTTCGAACCGTGCTCGTGCGGGTGCACTCGACTCCAATCTTAATTGACTAGAATTGTCAGTTTTCCTATCGAAGGTCGGTGGTTTTCTCGGGGCACTCTGGCTTCCTCCACCAATAAAAACTAGCCGCCACGAAATAGCCAAAAAGCTTAAAAGTGGCTTTTAAACACAAAAAATCAAATCAAATCGTAGATAAAGTTGAACCACAAATTTAAATGTTCAACAGAGTGCACATTTACTATATGTGTGAATGCAGGCTATGGCAAATCCAAAATACAATTTTCCCTCAATCAACGAAAATTGGTACCCACGAAAATAAATGAATTCGCAGTAGGTGATGTGAGATAAGAGTCTGTGAGACAGCAACCCAAACAAGACAACACAACATCCAAAAGACATCTAGAGGTCAACAAATAGGTGTCAAAAATAGACAGGTGTCGGAGAAATAAATATTCTATATGTGATTTTTTGCTCTTTTTCAGTTTGACGAATCAGATAGTTGCATTGAAAGAAATCCGACTTCAACAGGAAGAAGGAGCTCCATTTACTGCAATAAGAGAAGGTAAATTAATAAGATGTAGAGGGTCCATCTAAAGTAGTAAGTTAAAAGATAACTCTATAATTTTATTCTTTGTCATTTTATTTTCATAGCAACTAACCGATTTACGACACCAGCTACAATCAGGATTAGAGAGTCTTCAGTCTGTCATGAGAGATCTTAAATCGGTTAAAAAACGGTTCATTTCCTTTTTAAAAAAAAATGGTTTTGTACAGGAGTTTCGGTATATAAAGGAGCTCTTAGCAAAATTACAAGCTGAATCGAAAAAAAGCACCTTTACAAAAGGAAAACGTGCTGAATTTTTTGTTTCTGTTCTCTAACTTAAGCTTGCCTCAACCTAATGTTATGAAACTTACACACAATGCTTATTACCACAAAACTCAGATCAAGTTTCAATTTGGGTGACGTCACTTTTACTGTTCTTGATCAGATTAAAGCTGGAAAAAATCAGCAAGGAAAGACTTGAAACACTCAAAAATCTAAAGAAAAAACTGAAAACACAAACAAAGATGAACAACGAACAGAAGTCTAAAATATACCTGAAAGAAACTGGGCTTTTCTGACATTCCCAAGGCAACAAGCCCTTTACTACACTGTGGCCAGTTGGAGCAAACCGATGTATCTTAATTTTTACTGAATGGTGGGACAAAATTTCAATTTTTGTTGTAGATTTGATACTGTGAAGCTAAATTGTGACAATTTCTTGTTTTTAGCTCACCTGACCTGAAAGGTCAAGTGAGCTTTTCTCATCACTTTGCGTCCGTCGTCCGTCGTCCTGCGTCCGTCGTCCGTCGTCCGTCGTCCGTAAACTTTTACAAAAATCTTCTCCTCTGAAACTACTGGGCCAAATTTAACCAAACTTGGCCACAATCATCATTGGGGTATCTAGTTTTAAAAATGTGTGGCGTGACCCGGTCAACCAACCAAGATGGCCGCCACGGCTAAAAATAGAACATAGGGGTAAAATGCAGTTTTTAGCTTATAACTCAAAAACCAAAGCATTAAGAGCAAATCTGACATGGGGTAAAATTGTTCATCAGGTCAAGATCTATCTGCCCTGAAATTTTCAGATGAATCGGACAACCCGTTATTGGGTTGCTGCCCCTGAATTGGTAATTTTAAGGAAATTTTGCTGTTTTTGGTTATTATCTTGAATATTATTATAGATAGAGATAAACTGTAAACAGCAATAATGTTCAGCAAAGTAAGATTTACAAATAAGTCAATATAACCGAAATGGTCAGTTGACCCCTTTAGGAGTAATTGCCCTTTATAGTCAATTTTTAACCATTTTTCGTAAATCTTAGTAATCTTTTACAAAAATCTTCTCCTCTGAAACAACTGGGCCAAATTAAACCAAACTTGGCCACAATCATCATTGGGGTATCTAGTTTAAAAAATGTGTGGCGTGACCCGGCCAACCAACCAAGATGGCCGCCACAGCTAAAAATAAAACATAGGTGTAAAATGCAGTTTTTGGCTTATAACTCAAAAACCAAAGCATTTAGAGCAAATCTGACATGAAGTAAAATTGTTTATCAGGTCAAGATCTATCTGCCCTGAAATTTTCAGATGAATCGAACAACCTGTTGTTGGGTTGCTGCCCCTGAATTGGTAATTTTAAGGAAATTTTGCTGTTTTTGGTTATTATCTTGAATATTATTATAGATAGAGATAAACTGTAAACAGCAATAATGTTCAGCAAAGTAAGATTAACAAATAAGTCAACATGACTGAAATGGTCAGTTGACCCCTTTAGGAGATATTGCCCTTTATAGTCAATTTTTAACAATTTTTCGTAAATCTTAGTAATCTTTTACAAAAATCTTCTCCTCTGAAACTCCGTGGCCAAATTAAACCAAACTTGGCCACAATCATCATTTGGTTATCTAGTTTTAAAAATGTGTGGCGTGACCTGGTCAACCAACCAAGATGGCCGCCACGGCTAAAAATAGAACATAGGGGTAAAATTCAGTTTTTGGCTTTTAACTCAAAAACCAAAGCATTTAAAGCAAATCTGACATGAAGTAAAATTGTTTATCAGGTCAAGATCTATCTGCCCTGAAATTTTCAGATGAATCGGACAACCCGTTATTGGGTTGCTGCCCCTGAATTGGTAATTTTAAGGAAATTTTGCTGTTTTTGGTTATTATCTTGAATATTATTATAGATAGAGATAAACTGTAAACAGCAATAATGTTCAGCAAAGTAAGATTTACAAATAAGTCAATATAACCGAAATGGTCAGTTGACCCCTTTAGGAGTAATTGCCCTTTATAGTCAATTTTTAACCATTTTTCGTAAATCTTAGTAATCTTTTACAAAAATCTTCTCCTCTGAAACAACTGGGCCAAATTAAACCAAACTTGGCCACAATCATCATTTGGTTATCTAGTTTTGAAAATGTGTGGCGTGACCTGGTCAACCAACCAAGATGGCCGCCACGGCTAAAAATAGAACATAGGGGTAAAATTCAGTTTTTGGCTTTTAACTCAAAAACCAAAGCATTTAAAGCAAATCTGACATGAAGTAAAATTGTTTATCAGGTCAAGATCTATCTGCCCTGAAATTTTCAGATGAATCGGACAACCCGTTGTTGGGTTGCTGCCCCTGAATTGGTAATTTTAAGGTGATTTTGCTGTTTTTGGTTATTATCTTGAATATTATTATAGATAGAGATAAACTGTAAAAAACAATAAATGTCGGCAAAGTAAGATCTACAAATAAGTCAACATGACCGAAATTGTCAGTTGACCCCTTTAGGAGTTATTGCCCTTTATAGTCAATTTTTAACCATTTTTTCGTAAATCTTAGTAATCTTTTACAAAAATCTTCTCCTCTGAAACTACTGGGCCAAGTTAATTATAGATAGAGATAATTGTAAGCAGGAAAAATGTTCAGTAAATTAAGATGTACAAACACATCACCATCACCAAAACACAATTTTGTCATGAATCCATCTGCGTCCTTTGTTTAATATTCACATAGACCAAGGTGAGCGACACAGGCTCTTTAGAGCCTCTAGTTTATTAACAACATCTAATCTCATATTTAAAATGGACAGTGAAAAATATCATAATTTGAAAAATCAGTTTTGTATTTTCTAATAAATTTAGTATTCAAATGACTTTTTTTGTCACTGGTACATAGCCTTGAATGAGTCTGGGTGGCTGAGTGATCGAAGTAGATCATCTATATATATCATTAGCCTGTCCACACTAAGGTTTTGAGGTTCAAACTGCAAACGTGGCAGGTACGTTCCACTCCAATATTAATTGACTTGTCAGATTCCTGCCAAATGTCATGGTGTTCTCCGGAGACTCCTACAACACATAAAAATTGAGCGCCACTATTTAGCCAATAGTACTGAAAGTGGCGTTAAACACCAAAATCCAATCAGTCATAGCTTTGAATCAAAGTTGATAACTGCAAAAAGAAACCATGCAAAGCTTACATAACAGAGGCTCCAACGTATGACCTTGGCGTGTTTGTCTCAAATAGACCTTTAAAAATGTTCAAACCTGTATTATTAACTGTCATTTGTCTAAATGTGACCTGGTACCCTGAGCCAAATTTTAAATGTGACCTTGTCACCAAAGTGGGTACCATAACAGTTTACATTACAGTGGCCCCAAACTATGACCTTGTGGTAGTTTGTCTCATTTAAATGGATCTGTGACCTTTAAAAACGTTCAAACCTGTATTATTAACTGTTTTAGTTTAAAGGTGACCTGGTACCCTGAAGCAAATTTTAAATGTGACCTTGTGACTGAAAGGTGGTACCCTTTTGGAGCCCCCTAACAACTTAAATAAAGACACAAAATTTCAATTTGTTAGATTGGTTTTAAACATTGATCTCTAAACAAGCAATCATGGACCAAGTTAAGTTTGTCTGTATTCTAATTACCCTAGCATGGCATTAATATTCCACTGATTGTAGTGTTTTAGGAATAAAACTTTAATAGTATTAGCTGCAATAATTAAATTATATAATGTAAAGAAATAAAATTACTGCTGGTAAGATGGGCAGCTGTAAACAGCTATACTGTGCCCCCCCCCCTTTAGTTATTTTTGGGATTCTTATTTTTGTAGGTTTGGTGGGTACAGGCAGTGAACCAGGAATTAAAGTTTGCGAAGAAATACAAAATTTTTGCCTGTATGCTGAGATTTTAACAAAACCACAAAATCAATTATCTTTGAAATTACAAGTTTTCCTTTATCCATGAAAATCGGTACATGTGTACCAACGAAAGTAATGAATCCACAGTAATTGAAATAAAGTGTGGACACAGAGTTATGCCTTATCTGTGTAACATGCCTTAGTTATAAAGTCAATGGACCAGGATTGAGGAATAAGGGTCAATTTTATCTCCATGAAAATTAAATACACAAATTTTATCGACTTATTATTAAGTGATTTCCCATAAGCTGAAATAATAACAAATAATTGTTGGCACTGCTGACAATTAAAAAGAAATTTTAAGTTTAGCATCTGTGATTTTGTTGAGGCGAAGAAAATGGTAAAGTTGTATTTTTCTGTCAGAAATTTTAAAAATCATTCTCTTATGAGAAATGAGTTAGAAAATGAACAGGGAGTATATCTATTGTTCAATATAACAAAAATGTTTTTGGTTTTCTGCTTATGAAAAAAGGGGGAGTTATGGATGTAAGGAATGGACAGACTTACAACTTTATAAATCTGCTTATGCTTGGGGAACATACAAGCAATTACTGCTAAACCTCTCATAATGTTAGAAAATAACAGAGGTCAAAGGTCCTGATTGTAATTTTCTGATGGATCCTTCTGATTTTGTGTCTTCAATCCTGAGAATTTAACATTCATTCTGGATTACTAAAATAAACTGCATGCATGAAGCATTAAAACATAGTGTGAGGAGCTATTGAAATCACTGATACTATGATAAATGTGTAAAGAAAGAAATTTAACACATGATATCAATACAGATTTAATGTGAGCATTTAGAGTAGAAACAGAAATATTT